AATAGAGATACCTTCAGCAATCACATTTGCAGCGCTAATAGATAGTAGATATTTTTAATTCATATTTTGTCATTAGAAAAATGGGAATATAAATATATAAACTAAATAAAATACCAAATGATTTTTTAGCAAAGTGCCATTTATATGGGTTCAGTTTTGGTAAACCAATAACGAAATGAATAACCATTAGTGAATATTGACGTTATACAATTAATCCGCAAACCAAACGTTCCCCTATAAATGATCCTCAATTAATCACCTCTACCTTGTACCACAATTGTATTGGTAATTTACCTCTCTCTACGTCTAATGCGTTTTAGACGAGAGATCTGAACTAAGCGACTTTTCTACTAATTAGGTTTTGCCCTATTTACATGCAAAAAGAGAAGATGAAATCTGAAATATAAAATCGGGGACTCATTTTTGAACCCTTTGTATGGAATTAACACAATTTTCACAGCACCCTAGGAAAGGTTTCGAGAACCGTTTTACTTTAATTTTACGCTAGAAAAGTCGTCGGGTCGCTACAAGCTAGTCAACCATAAATTTCCCGAAAGCCTCACATAAATAAAGTGCTGGGAAACAGGTGCTTTCAGGGCAGGGTTAATTTATTCCTCTTTGTCAATTAGTGCTTTTAAATTATTCTATATCAAAATCTGAGCACTTTACTGATAATCCCACCACTTATTTTTGAGGTTCGTGAATTAAAGTTTGGAAAAAGTGTTTACGCCCTGACTGAGCATTTTGGTCAGTAAAGTGAGCATGTCAGGTAAATTGCTTGTCCTAGACAAATAGGTGTTTGTTCCATTAGAGCTATATATAGGTATACCTGCGTCTATAAAATTATCCGTAGTCCATGTTTATTTTATGAGATTGTCGAGAGCCTCGAATGGAACGCTCAATTTGCGCCAATCAGATAATGGTGTTGCCTTTAGGTACGAGCTAATCGAATCTTTTAAGGTCTTATGGCTTTTTGGGCAATCATTTTCCTTTTATAGGTTGTTAATGGACAGATGGCTTTTACTGATAAGTCCATTTGTCTCTTTACTGTTTCAAAATTGGTTTACACACCAAGGACTTATACTCAGCGCCTGTACCTGCTCTGTTTTTGAAGTTATGTTTGTTAAACTCTTAAAGACGAATTCCGATGACTTTCAACTTGAGTGAAGATTCAAGTTTAAAAAAATGTGCTACCAAAGATCAAATAAATTTCTCTACCTGAGACTTCACTCGGTTTTACACCGACCGCACTTCTGAAACTTAACTTGGAGTGCTCCATCACAAAAGCCTTAATTCTTTGCGCTTAAAGTAGAATGGTCGATATCCCGCCTTACTCCGACGACCGTGAGACGTTTTATCCTTGACACTTCTTGAATAACATCTTGTCGAAAAACAATAACGGTTATAAAAAGTAAAATTCATCATTGTCATGTTAAATTGCTGTCTTGAAGCCTAGTATTATTTTTGGATTAAGTTATCCATCTTGCTACGGATGTTTTGTTAAGAAGAATTCAAACTATACATACATATGTCAGAATAAATTAGCGCTAATTAGTCATTCAAACAATGGCTAGCTGTTTGATGGAATGACTGGATTTCTGTATCAATTTTGATAAATATTTATTTATGATAGGTAGTATATATGTATATAGATAGTAAGTTTGTATTTATGAAAGTCCCCCTAACCTGCTTGAATGAGAAATTCAGTCTTTGATCAAACAGTTAGTCATTCAGCTCGTTGTCTGTGACTGCGATGTATATAAAAATTTACAAGTAAAAGAAAAAAATAAAATTGTATGCCCCCTTTACTGTCTTAGAAAACAGTGAGATTTTTTTAGGCCATTAGAAAAATAAGATGGTAGTCCCGATTTAATATCAATACCATAAGCCTTAAGCTCAGACGGGTTGCATGATACTAGAATATAAACTAACATTATTTAAATTACAGTCTGGCCGTCTAGACTAATTTTTAGGATTCCAAACCACTGTTTATAACTTATGTTTATTATCAGTAACAATGTTTACACTATTCAAGGGTAAAAAGAGGTTTAAGTGTTGAATGGCCATGCTTCGGTACGGTATGGGTGGGCCAGCTTAATTGTAGTGATTTTACGGCCTGACAAAACTGAAACCGCGGTTTGCCGCGAAAGTGAGGTTACTGGATCTCCAAAACCCCCCAATTATCTATATCCTTACCCCCAAAAGGCGGGCGACACACTCGTACACCTCTGGTGTAGCGGGAACTCCATGGTAAGGGGGAGATTGCTTACCATCAGGTAACCGGTCTGATTTGCCCATTGCCATGTCGTCACTCCATGTTACTGCAGTTTATTCTTTATGTATGTGCATAGTGCCCATTAAATTGGTACGAAACAATATTATAAATTAAATACACTAGTGATAAATTATGCAACGCTTTTGTTATGTGTGTGGCTTGCTGATATTGAATGTGTCATAAATCAGAAAACATTATCTACTATATTAAACCACTGATTTATTTAAAATTAAACTGTTTTAAATAAGTTATAGCCTATTATTTGTTGACGTACGACCTCATTCATTTTTCGATTCTATTAACGGAAAAAGGAGCTAAAAATAGATGGACCCGCTGAACGGGGAACTTGAACCTTTTCGTTTGCAAACAATTTCTTGCAGGCGTCCTTCAAAGACTGCTGTGCTGGGTACTTACGTAACTATTTCCGTGCACATGTAAATGCTATTACATGGTATTTATATACAACTGTTGATACCTAGGCTCGTCAGACGTGGGCCACTCCATATCGATCGCAGTTCAAGGCTTGAACCAAGGCCGTCGACATGATTCGATGCTCGGGCCTAAACGGGCCGGTGCCACTAAAATTGCCTTAGTAAATATTGGCATTCACCAGAATCGAGTTACCGCCATTATTCTGATTGCTTTTCACGCAAATTTTTCACTTGGAGTTTTAGGGTTCTTTGCATAACAATAAAGATGATGTATTGCCTGTAATTGCTCATCGAGGATCACTCTTCATTTTTCAATGACAGCTGTCAAAAGTATTTAGAGATGTTATTTAATATTGATTGAACTTATAGCTGTAGCTATATTTTCATGTGTCCAAGTGTCCCTGTTGACTTCTCACTTCAGGCTCTTCACTCTTCAAATATTAGAAGAAAGATGTTTTTGATTTAAGAAGCCGTTTGCACTAAATTTTTGTAATGAAAGTTTGTCTGATATCACTCAAGTCCATCAAGATTTATACTACAAGATCAAACATTAACCTCTAGTAACGTTTCAAATCGCTTAGGTCCACAGTCCATGGTGTTGCGTAAATGCAGTTAACCTGATTCCCTGGCTTGTCTAAACTTCACCGTCAAAATAGCTGTTCGTCAGCCAATATTTATGTTTGACGAAATTAAGTTAGGGGTGTTAATCACGTAATGTCTTTTCTCGTAAATTCTACATGGTCTTACAACTTTATGTTGGGCTCTAAGTTTGGCTATAAATGCCAGTCGTTTTATGTGATCGATCAATTTATGATAGTATGTCTGTGACCTAATGACTTTGCAACCTTTTTCGTGGTCTAGCTGTATTTGGACCTAGCTTCTTAATGTTCCAGACACAATCTTCAAGTTCATTTATCTGTCTAGACCTTTGGGCTGTTTTTGATGAGTAAGGTTTCGCATTTCGTAATAAATGGTAAACTGCAATTAAGTGACTCTATTTTTGCTGGCTGTTTGAATCATGAGACCTTTTCAAAAACAGACGAACGAATTTTAATTGACATAAATTACTCACATTCCTTTAGTATATATTACTTCAAAGTGCACCATTACGTGTGTAAAGTGAAAACACGTTCATTGCAATGGAGTACTGACGGCGCTGGGCTTGAAAATTGCATTAAATAGGTCACTAGACCAACTTCCAACGCCCACAGCATAACACCGACCAATTTCCCTTCGTAGATCTTTATCGTAAGGCGAGATATTGGATACTAGCATTACTTACTAACAGGCCAACCTTTGAAGGCCTATTTGCCCTACCATTTTTTCAAGTCACAGACAGAATTTTTTATTTGTTAGCAGAATTTTATATTTTGCATCTAGCTTTAAGTAGATGCAATGAAAAATAGTATGTCTTTTGGAATTAAAAAAAAATGAAAGGAACTGCAGCCGTAAACAAACAATAACAAACGCCACTGTTATTTTATTTAAAGAACCCACCCAATGTCTTCCAACACATTTGTGGTGGCACGCGATGTCTCGAAGGACGCAGGTGGAAATCAAGAAGAAATAGAGCGTGAATACATGACACAACAGCCGAAATACAACTCTGATTTATATGCACATTTTTGCAATACAAAAATGTTGGCTATTAATTATTAGAAAGAGAGAGTAATAAGACTGCTCTTCAAATCTTCAAACATGTCTGTAAATGTAACTCTTCTGTATTTATGTAGACCTTCAGAATATAGATGGTGTGTAAAACCATTTCTTACAAAAATAAATTATCTTATAAATTAGACGGGACCGTTGGTGCGGTGGTGGACTTAATGTGATCCACAAATTGTTGTTTCGGGTCTGGGTGTGATGTGTATTTGTAAACGCACCCACAATACAGGAGAAAATCCTAAAGCGGGGAAGACTTTCGCTTTTTAGCTTCTTCTTCTTTAAACTTGAGTTCCATTAATCATCGTTTTTTTTTTCTTTCAACGGGCTACAGAATCTCGTCTCTTCGATGGGCATACTAGGAGCCGAAGCCAACTCACAGACCCCTGTTAAAAAATGTCAATTCAACCGTCACTTATCCTTCTATGCACTATGGATGGAAGTGCATACAAAGGCTATGGACATGGGTGGCTATGAACTAGTAGACAAGATACTATGATATAATTTGACCTATTATCATCCATTTTATTATTACCCTAACTACTAACTACTACTAACCTAAGCTATAACGATAGTAAAATAATATTCTTTAATCATTAAGCAATATTAAATTGTCTTCTCCATTGTTACAGAACGACGGTAGCTTACTTCTTAAGAACATAGGCGTAGACGACGCGGGATTGTACGAGTGCTCGGTGGAGAACGAGACAGCCTACGTCGACAGAGTCAACCTCACAGTGCGGAGTAAGTCATATAATTGTTCATATTTCTACATCACCGTCGTCATCACCGTAATCTGAAAAATGGCCCCTACTCAAGGCGTCTCTGTAAATCTTCAAATACATATACGAAAGACACCTTATTTAAGAAACTTTACATTCAGAAGTATCTACTGTTCATAATGGGTTCCTAAATATTAATTTAAACTTCGAACAGACTAAAATTTGTCATCCATCTGCCGCATATCGCCATTAAAAGCCATAACTTTTAACCTTCCTTAAGCCGATATTTTCGGGCCATTTTACAAATTCCACCGTTATTTATTTCATCCCACTTAAGTAATGAGGATGAATAAAACATAGTTCAGAATGAATGGTCCTAAAATGTTGGGAATAGTAATAGTCCCATTTTGGCCGCATTATCTTTATTTCCAAGGTCATGCGTTGTAACACTATTTACTTGTGGTAATTTTGGATACATGCCTCATTAGTGGATTGGTTGTGAATGTAGTTTATCCGAGGAAACGTGACCGGCGTGCTTTCTTCTTTTTACATATTTGTTGTACATATATGGTGTGGGATAAGTTAGTTCTGCGAACGAAGTGACACGAGATCTTATACTTAACCTTTCAATCGTAGTTATTTGAGACACAAAAGAAGACCTACATGTTACAATAACCAGAAAAACAATATGGGTTTGGTATGAATGTGAAATCGTACGTTTGTACATCCACGACACAGGAGAAAATCCCAGTGAAGGGAAAGAGTTAAAAAAACGCCGGCGTTCGCTTGGCGTTTCATGTCGAAGAAGACTGGTTTCTTATAATAAAACACCACTCGGCAGTAACTTTTCACTATCGTGTAAAAGATCTGCATTAAAAGTTTCTATTCTACCTCTAAAGTTTTAATAACGCAAGCGATGATGTAGGTAGCCATCCTGCACAGGCTGCATCGCTAACAAAGTTTCAGTTACCGTTTCGTATAATTGTCGCAGTATCATGTGCCCCGCGGTTTACTACAGAAACTAGAACAGTTTCGCCACTGTTCCCTGTTATTTACACTTTGTTAAAAGGATTATTGTGTAGTTACATTGGCTTTGTAGTTTTGATATATTCCCGTTTGTTATAGCCAGTTCTTTAGAGGTTATTTCTGGTTACGAAGCTTTATTGTGGCATATTAATGAGTTAGGAGTTGCATTGGTTTGTTTTTGATAGAACAAATGTTATCACAAATTATTTTTACACTTGTCTGGATTTAGAAGAGTAACTAAGTAATCTCTGAGTTTGTTTCGGCTTTCTCAGGGTAATCAAATCTGCCATTTGGGCTTTTTCTAGATTTTTTTTATAAGGTATACGTGTAAAATCTCTTTTGTATAAAGTCTAAAAACTAAATTTTGTAAGTTTTATTTCTTCTATTCACATCTAGAAATAGATGTGCATTAGTTCCGTCCGACATAAAAATGTCATGTTGACAGATTTCAATTTAACAATCTGACCCATCTCACACATTATCTTCTTTGCGAGACGGGCACGGATGACACAAGCTGTGACTTCGTTTCAGGACTGAAATCATATCTTAAAGAGAGTTTCTTTACAGATTTATCAAAGACTTCTATGGATAGGTATTACTGTATTAGTAACAAATTAATTTCTGCTGGGTAAATCATTTCACTCAATACTAAATTCAAATAATTTATTTCAAATAGACAAGCATAGGCACTTTTGACCGTCGAAAAAAAGTAATAATTAAAGTATCTTTATTTGGGGCAGTCTGTCGGTCTGCTAGCCATTGCTCGTTCCAAAGTGCAGATTCCTATGGAGAAGAACGAACAAGAAACTCCATGGTTACTCTTTTTCAATCAGTTTCAAACTTGTTTTGTATTTTTCATCATTTAATCGGTTCTATTGTGTGGGAACTGTGTCACACTAATATTTAAACAAAGAATCCAAAAAAACAAAACTCTTAAGACTACGAGTACGAGAACTAGATAAACGACAAAAAGATGATCTGTTGGAATTATTCATGTTGGTAAATAATCAATAAGATTTCGTTATTCAAGCTAAAAAAAACCAAAGAGATTGTTCCTTTCTTAGTTGCGACTTCAATCGCTTCTAGTTCAAAGTCCCTACCCCCTCATCCATTGAACTCATCGGCGTCAAGTATCAATACCACGTCGGGTGGAACTCAGTGCTCAATAAGTAGCCACCTGTTACTGAATTATGCGATGTTTAAACCTTTAAGTATACTAGGAATATTAATGATGCCGCTGCCGAAGTACCACTCAACGCGCTTTATGCAGACTGGGAAATATGAGCAACGAGCAATACTGTTTATTTCAACTGGAGCCGATGTTGAACTACCGTTGCGGTTTTTATAGCAGCTTGTTATTTATTTCCTCATATTTAAAGCCTCGATTCAGTTTTATTTACACTGGCATTACCGGTCTCGTATTTTTGCTTTTTTAAGCCTTTGGTTTGTTTTGATCGCGAAAGATTTCTCTACTACTAGGTGGCCAGCAAGTAATAAAAGGACATATGAACGAATCACGGGTGTGAGCCATGTTAACTAAAAACAAAATGTCGAATATGCTGACAAAGAAATTTTAGCGTGACGGTATACTCAACAACAAATAAGACTTCTCCATAGCCGATTACGAATAAACAAAACTCGATAATTCTACACTTCGAGTTGATTCATGATTGTGAATCTGAATTTGGAGTGAATTTACAATGTAATGTTGTAATTACTGATTTCGAGATCAATCGATCAGTAATCATTAGTTTGTGCGTCTCCAATAATTTTGAGCTTCATCATCATCATCATCATCAGCCTATAAATGCCCACTGCTGAGCAAAGGCCTCTTCTCATACGGAGAAGGTTAGAGCATTAACCACGCTTGCTCAATGCGGGTTGGCGATTTCAAACTTATAAATAGAAATTATAAGTCCAGGTTTCCTCACGATGTTTACCTTCACCGTATGTCAGTGGTGTCTAAATAATCATAGAAAGTACATATAACTCGGAAAAAGTCACATTGGTACTTGCCAGGTTTCGAACCCGCACCCTCATGCATGAGAAGCGGGCGCCTTAACCTCCGGGCCATCACGAAATTTTATGATTTTTTTATGAGCTTGCTAAAAGTAACAAAATTTCTGTTGAATTTTAGAGAAACACACCTTTTTTTGTCAGGTGAAAATCATATAATGACTTCTCCCGCCCAGGGTAAGGCGAGAGAGAGAGTCAGACTCTTACTGACTAAAAACCCCCCCGTTCCTTCTCCTGCTCTGGGCCGAAGTCGCGGTGCCTCATTGCGCTTACCCCGCAGCCCCGGCTGAACATCAGCCCTATTGGGCCCCGACTGTGGTGGTCTATTGGCTCTTTGAGGCGCCCGCAGAACGCTACGCACCGTACGCTCGGGTCCGGTTCTGGTCGGGTGGCGAGCTACCCTTACTCGCATTCCGCAGACCCGCGCTTACGGTGGCCGGAGATCATCTCTCGAGAGAAACACACCTGTAATTGTAATTGACACTCCCAAAATCAGCATATACATGACGGCGCTAGCGACTGATTATGGATTATTTTTAACAACAAAGAAGATTGTGTGGTCTTTTGTCGAATAAATGTGTTTTCTTTCTTTCTTTCTTCTTTCTTCTTTACAGTTGATTGTTGATCATAATTAATTTTTTAGTTAATTGGTAACATTATTATGAGCGGGTAACCCCGAATAGAGTAGTAAGTGTCACTACGAGGAATGGCAGCGGGCATCTGGTTGACAGCTGCCAGCCGAAGTGTACTCGCTAACCTATTGGCTCAAAATCTCATACCATCTTATTGATTGTGTGATTGTGAATAAAATAGCGAGGAAACCAAATAATACAAGCGTGCCTTTATTTTGAATTCCGGTCGTTACAACGCGCATGATAGAAAGTGACAACCATGACCGCCACGAGGCTCTTTCTGACGCTCCCACATACATATTATGGTGTCACTATTTCGCACTTTTGTTTTTCGATATCATGTATCGAACCCGTTTCTATTAGACGATGAAAGTTAACTAAATGAACGTCTTTAGTCTTATCGGTGTTAGTGACAACAGTAGCTGTCAAGATGTCGCTGTCAGTTGTCAAATGCGAATAACTTTAGGTAAATATTCTCGCTCGACTGAATGTAACGGTGATTCGAATACGAAGACTACTAAACTAAGACTAAACTGTAAGGTGTCCGAATATTAGTTATCGGTTAATAAAGTTAACATTTTAAAGTTTTGAGATTTTTATTTCCAAGTATGTACTCACAATACTTATGGCAATATGACCACAATAGCATTAAATTATCAAACCTTTGAGATTTTCTAATCAATTTTCTACGTTACCCTTTTGTATGAAACTAGCTACCCTTGCGCGGTTTCACCCGCTACTCCATTTGATCGTAGCATGATGTTTTATAGCCTATAGCACTCAGGAACATTGTAGTTATCTGTCAGTGAAAGAATTTTGGCAATCCGACCAGCGGTTCCAAAGATTACCCCCTACATACAAACTTACAAATTTTACCTCTTTATAATATTAGTATAGAAATAGTAAAAGTATAGATGGGACGACAAACAAGAAGTTGTTTGCCGTGTGTCCATAGGCGTTTGAAGAAACACCGCAACAACAGAGGTTACAAGTGCGTTGCCAGCCTTTTGAGGGTTGTTAGGCCTTAAGAAACCTCACTCACTCGGCGAAAATCATTGCTTAACGCCGGTTCTCTGTAAGGTCGTGGTATCACCCCGGTCCGCAAGAATTAACTGGATTCGATACTTGTCAAAGCATGGCGTTCCCACACTTAAATCAAGATAGACTCGTTTTCTAGAACATTATTAACTAATAATTAATTTCCACTAATGCCAATTTTTTCCTTAAGCCTTTGACTGCCGACAGAAAACTGTTGAAGGCAAATCCTCCGCTAAGGTGACCCCCATGGCGCTTTACTTGTTAATTTAATTACCGATTCGACCTCATTGTTGTTACATTACTTGGGTGT